TAAATGTTCAAATAAAATCTTCAATTATCCAGAACTGACCGAGAAACAGTAGGAAATATGATACTGAAACGAAAGTACCCACCGTAACTGATCAAAAAAAGCGCGTGCAAAACATTCGTCAGTTAAGAAGAAATGTCTCTGAACAGCATCTAGATGATCCCGTATTAGGTAGTTTTGCACAACCTCTACCATCACTTCAGCATTCATTCTTTTGTATATTCTAAACTTCATTGAGCAAGATATATTTCATTTAGAACTGTCACTACAACAAGAAATATACCTATTTATTAGATGCATAAATTTTGTAGTCTCTTCAATACGCAAATAAAAGTCAAGTGAGCTCATCGAATCAAATAAACGTTTCCGTTCATCAAAAACGCGATCCATGACGTTCAAAGAGTTAAGAAGGCCAACTGATCTGCCTACCATTAATATCTAAAACGGCACAATAAACTGAAATCAGTAATCAGAAAATGTAAAACAGCTGAATTTCCAAAAAGCAAAAAATCTCAACAAATTTATCAGTCAAACAATAAAGACCAAATTAAAGCAAAAAAAAAAACAAAAAAACAAAAAACCTTTTTCAAAAAACCAGAAGAACTTTTAAAAGTGTCAGGGACAGCTTTTCCGACAATCTTATACTTTGTATTCCAAGGATTCTTGCCAAGTCTTTCCCCTTCAACAGCTATCATCCACTAAAAATACTTTATAAATTACACAAAACGCTTGAGAAAATTGGTGCATGAGTGCTGAGCAAAAAGTTTTTTAAAAATCATACTTCTACTCCATCAATCAAAGTTCCCTGAAGAACCCACTGTAAGAGACTTTTGTGAAATAACCCAAACATAGTCTTCAAGGCAATTTCAAGGTAACGTTTACTAAGACTGTTAGCGGTGCTGCTGAAAATTCACTTTACAGCTAAAAAAAAGGAATCATCTTTACAGAAATAACAATGCTAAATATCATTTGAGAAATGTAAGTGGGAGACTACAACATGAAGAGTTAAATAAACTTTACCTACAATACAAAGCATAAGCACTGTTGATGATCTCAGTCCCACTAGAGGTAATACATTTATTTGTCAAAACAAGAAACTGTTCCAGAACCAAGCGCCATTCATCCAAAACAATTAAGATTTCCAAAGGCGTAACATTCATAGGTCCCTGAGCAAACTGCAATTTAAAAAAATTCTGTTAAATAACACCTTGGTTTTTGAAAAGGAGTTAAATGTATCAGAATCAGGAGAGAAAAATGTATCAGAATGCAACCAAATTTGAGCTTCAATCCTACAGTCTTTAAACTTACTTTCGAATACAAACTTGAAACAACTAAGGAATATTCTGTTAGAACATCCGGAATACAACCATAGAAGGCCTGGAATTTAAAGATATATAAAAGACCAACCATCGCTCCAAAATCTAGAACTATTAGAAAACGACTATACATTGAAGAGTGTAAAATCACTGAAAAAAAACACAAGTTTGAGTAACCCATGATTGAGCAGGTTGAACCTGTATTATAAAATCCGAACTGCTTCGCTGAGTAGTATGTTGCAACTTTATGTAAAAAGTCCCAATTTCTAAGATACGTAGGAACTGCGAATGGAGGTAGTCTGCAATGGCACAGTCAGACCTGACAGAAAAAGAATCTCCACTTCCCAACGAGATATAGCGACCCTCGATTCCAATTAATGCTGATAACGCTTCCGATATTAAATCGTTTTCATTCACTACTGTAAAGCAAAAATAAACCTACAAGACGTAGAAAAACAGCTTGTTTCCTGACTCTATAAATGGATTTTTGAAAATAAATATTCTTGTAAATGAAGTGAAGGATTTAACAAAAGATGAGCTTCTTTACAAACCTGCAGGCACTTTTGCCCGAGCATTTAATATAGGAGTTTTTTTTACCTCTACTTCCAGAAATCTAACGCTGAAAGAACAGAAATGTCAGAACTATCTTTAAAGCAATCATAAATTAAAAGACAAAACTATTCATAATTTTTAATAAAATGCATAAATCTTACCCAACTGAATTAGTAACCATACCAGTTTGGTAGCCACGCGGCTCACGATGAAGCTTCAACGAGGACTTCGGCGAGAGAGAGGAAGTACTAGTAGGGGTTTTGTTTACGACTGCTAACTTCTTCCTCCTTTGCTCTTTTCTTATTAACTGAAATCAGAATAAAGAAGCAGCTAAACTTACAATCTATATAACTTGTCTTAGAGAGCAAAATACTGTATATTACTAGTAACAGAGTTAAAAGAAATAATTAGGAAAAAGTGTAACGCGAGTAGGCCACTCGCATAATACTGAACTAAAAACGCTCCTGCTTAAGATGCGTATATTCGAATGCTTTCAGGGAAGAAACTTCACACCCATAAAGTAACAACTCACAAAAAAATAGAAAAACACCGTTCTTAGATCCCCCTTTGTAAACGATTAATCAAGGCATAAGACCATCGGAAACAATTAGGTTCAGGTACATGAATTCCAATAAAAAAAAAATAGTTCG